ATTAGGTCAGATTGAGTTAGACCTATCGGACTGCGCCATCTAGAGTTTCATGCCAGAACTCTGTATATATAAAAATATATTATAAATACATACACTACTGTTCAAAAGTTTAAAGTCAGTGAGTTTTTTTAAAGAAATTAATACTTTCATTCAGCAAGGATTCATTATATCAAAAGTGACAGTAAAGACATTTATAAGGTTTCAAAAGAGCTCTATTTCAAATATATGCTGTTCTTTTGAACTTTTTACACAGCATCCTGGAAAAAATTTATCATGGTTTCCCAAAAAAATATCAAGCAGCACAACTGATTTTATCATTGATAATGACAGGAAATGTTTCTTGAGCAAATCAGCATATTTGAATGATTTCTGAAGAATCATGTGACACTTAAAGGAACACTCCAGTATTTTTGAAAATAGGCTAATTTCCCCTAGAGTTAAACAGTTGAGTTTTTGGAGTATTCCTTTAAGACTGGAGTGAAGGCCGCTGAAAATTCAGCTTTGCATCACAGGAATAAATTACATTTTAAAATATATTAAAATTGAAAAACATTATTTTAAATTGTAATAATATTTCACAATTTTACTAATTTTGATCAGCTTCTTCTTTCAGAAATTAAAAATATAAAACAGACCCCAATCTTTTGAATGGCAGTACAGATAGAAAAATCTATGTAGCATCTTATATGTAAGTTATGATTATTCTTATCATACATGGTGCCAGCAACCCTGACAACCACCAAGAAAACTCAACTGCGTCAACTACATAAGCAAGCACAAAGTTGTTAATACCTCGCATCGGGTGTGATACTGATGAGACACTGATCGTGATATTGCAGATAGACGCCTACAGAAACAGAGAGCACATGACGAGACAAACAGAGAAACATTGAAAAAATAATTAAATGCAAGTTGTTCATCTCAAGTAACATTATGCAGTAAATTTGCCCTATAATCACACAATGACAGTCAATGACAGCTGTGTGAGATATATTGAGCACTGTGGAGATACAGGCAGTCTGATAATGTTTCACTACTGATGTACTGATGTAAAGAATGCTTATTAAAACATACATAGTATATTTTTAAATGTTTTAGTAAGTCAAACCTATAGTCCCTTAAGGCTTAAATATAATGAACTGGTAGGGACTGTATTTTGGGTTGGTCACAATATCTGCACTGGACAACATCATCTGTGTAGTTCAGATTATTTACTTTGAAATGAATCACCTCTCCATGTCTCAATCTTGTGCTCCTCCAATTCATAGATCTGAACCTACAAGAGAAAGAAAGCAACCATAAAATATATAAAAATGATACAGTGTAATGTGTATATATAAATATAGACTACTGTTCAAAAGTTTGGGGCTGGTTAGATTTTTTTGTTTGTTTGTTTTTTTGGGGGTTTTTTTAAGTCTCTTATGCTTGCCAAGGCTGAATTTATTTGATTGAAGATACAGTAGAAACAGAAAAAATCTTAAATATTATTAACATTTTAAATAACCATTTTATATTTTAATATATTTTAAAATGTAATTTATTCCTGTTGAATTTTCAGCATCATTACTCCAGTCTTCAGTGTCACATGATCCTTCAGAAATCATTCTAATATGCTGATTTGCTGCTCAATAAACATTTATGCTGGAAACAGTTGAGCCGTTTAATATTTTTGTGGAAATATTTTTGTGATACAGTACATTTTTCAAAATTCTTTGATGAATAGAAAGCTTAAAAGAACACCATTTCTTGAAGAATAAATATTTGTAACATTATAAATGTCTTTACTTGATCAATTTAATGCTTCATTGCAGAAAAGAGTATTAAATAAATAAATCAATCAATCAGTCAATCAATTAATCAATCTTACTAACACTAAAATGTTAAGCTGTAGTGTATACACAAAATATATTTAAAATTCTATTTCTGAAAAAAAAAATCAAAAACTCATACATTTAAAAACTATATATTTTTAATAAATATAATTACAGGTATATAAGGGAGGGATATTATATATATACAGGTGCATCTCAATAAATTAGAATGTCGTGGAAAAGTTCATTTATTTCAGTAATTCAACTCAAATTGTGAAACTTGTGTATTAAATAAATTCAATGCCATCACAATAGAAAGAAACAAAGACTTAAACTACTTCAGTCTGTTTGAATTGAATTTATTTAATACACGAGTTTCTCACATTGAGTTGAATTACTGAAATAAATACACACTTCCACGACATTCTAATTTATTGAGATGCACCTGTATATATATATATATATATATATATCTGACAATCTAGTCATGGCTGAAGAGAAGGTTCTTCATAGTCAAGTATTCTCTCTTTTTTGGGGCTGAACTGTTGCAGAGTTGAATTATTTATAAATAAAAGGCGCAAAATATCAGGTTAAGAAAATTATTTGCATGAAAAAGGACTCAGGCCGAATCATATTTCAAGTCACTTTGTTATCATCTACCAAAGAAACAGTATCTGTTTCATGCAGCATTATGTGGATAGTCAATGCAAAATCAATGATTCAAACCACGAAGGACAAAACAAGGTGATCATTAGAGAAGAGGCAGGGATCGCAACCCACCATAGGTGACCTGTAATACCGATGAAGAATATTGATGAAATCTGTGATTGTCAGCATACCTGGGAAAACGGCAAGGGAATGAAGTAAACAAGAGAACAATTCATATAGATAAAAATAATATGCACACACTCAGCAAGATCAGTCTTACCCACAAATCTCTGCAGTTTGTTGTCCCAGAGAGGGGCTGCTCTCAGGCCATTCGCAACCAAAGCAAAAAAGGCCTTCTTCACCTGTCAACACAACAGACGTGTGTTCCAAATAAATATTTTTGTCTTTATGAATTATTGTTGTTAATGAGAATCACATTTTTAAATCATATTAAACAATAATAAAGTAATTTTCTGAATTTGATTGCATCCCAACCTGCAGTGTGGTGTCAAAAATGACCAGTTTGCAGCTGGTGGGAATTGCATCATAACAACAGTGTTTCTTCATAAAGTTCATATAAGCTTCTGCATTTGGATCGGGGTCTGGAGAGACATGAAAACACACCAAACAACATCGAATGTTTAAAGATGCTGTGAGCAATTGCTCAACATTGAACAGACTTAAGTTCAGACTTAAGGTACCTACACTACAGTACCTGTGCTGTTCATTAAATAGTCCTCATGGCAATTGTCCTGCCGGGAACAAAAAAGTACATTGCATTGTCTTTCAAGGAATAATTCTTTCAAGGAAAAAAATTCAAATTCTGCCAGAAAAATCATTCCAGAAATTTTATTAGGTCCACTAATAATGCTTTTATAGCACCAAATGCACATCAGTAAACAATTATGAGCATCATCTTACTGTTTCCCTTACTGTATTACTTCCATTTATGTAGGCTATCAGATGTTAGTACTATGGTACTTTAATATAAATTAGGCTATACCATCGTAATAAAGTTTATATATCATTGGACTTCCAAACCGCCATGGTTTTATTACATAACATTTTCCAAAAAGACAAGGTAATACCACAGCAGTACCATGGTAGTTTTGTAAATAACGTAAAAAACATGTTATTACCATTGTACCCCTTCTAAAAATTGTGTTTACGCTGAACGCAGCTGTCTTGCCCATTTCAATCTTTCAAGCCTTTATTTTAACACATGCACCAGACGCTGATTTACACTCGCGAGAGAAGGTTTACTCGATTACCTGCTGTCTTACCTGCGTGCCAGTGTCCATTTGTGCTTGTGCACTTTGGTCGAGACGATCCGTGCACATCCCCGCTTCACCCGAGCTATATTAGGATCAATTGAGGTCAGTCGGTTATTTAAACCGCGACGCTCCCTCTAAACGCAGTAGGTCCGATGGACAGACAAAGCGACGGCACAGCGGTGAAGAGAAGACCACCTATTTTAGGACATTACTGTACGAGTCCGGTTAAATGTGGTGTAAAGGTGTCTTGTTTGACACTGACAGACAGCGCGAGAGCAGGCACGTAGGAGCGCGCGCAGGTTGTTCCAAATATAGCGCGTGGCTTGTGTGATATGCGCGCGACCATTCCTTCCTTCATGAAGGGTCCAAAATTAATTTTATGCCACACCTGCCAATGGCCAGCTAAGACATTTCTTAAATATTGCTTGAGGTATTTAGTCATTAAATGGGTTATAATATTTATTCGTTAAAATTAAGTATGGCTAAAACCATGCCAAAAATCATTTATTGAAAAAAAATAAAATATTCAACATTTCATTTCAACTAGTGGCGAAAAGTTGTTATTCAACGTCTTCTTTCATATAAAGTAACAATAAACAATTATTGTTCAGTTTATGATGAAGTATTAAAAAACGAATACTAAAAATTTAAACGAATATAGACATACAAATAAAAAAACCTAGAAATGACCAAAACAAGTTTGAGATTAAGATATTTTTATTATTTTCATTGTTGCAGCTGTTATGTTCTTTCATCATTTCTATACAAAATGTACAAAATTGGGACAGGAAATAGTTAACAGACTTTAGAAGTTATTAACATATAATGGTGGATATGTAAGAAATCACTAAATCAGGTATTAAAGGGTGCTTTTATGTCCAAGTCTTAATAATATACCATTTATTCAATTACATTACGTTTAAAGAACATAAATCCAAAATTAAACTCATTAACAAAGTCAAGCAATGAACCCAAATCTATTAAATTAGTCCGTTCTGCAATTCCAGTACTTTAGGATATCAAAATATTGAGGACTGTTACTTCGAACGGTTAACTAAAGCAATCTATGATGAATGCTTTGTGGATGAGGTATGGCATCAACCAGCTGACCATTACAAATCTTAAGAATATCTAACTAATTTGCATAACTGACATCCCTTTTTGCTTTCCTTCCACCCTTCCTCTTTGAACCCAAGTGAACAAAACCAGGCTTAAATTCAAATTATTTCCCAACTTGAAAATAAAGGCTTTCGCAGGAAGGAACTTTAAAACAATACAGTTCTCCTCAGGACAACACCATGTAGCGCAAAGCCAGGCAAACTATTCAAAACAAGAACACACACTTCTGCGTATAACAGCAGACCCTTTTGTTAACTTATGTAACTACTTACCATTATTTTTGCTTGGATGCCTTGGAGGTTTCACGTAACAGCTAAAACCAATCAAACTAACCCATCCGGAAAGAGAAAGAAAAGAAAGCCTGTTCATTCATACTGCATTAGCACGCACATCAAAACTCAAACTGTCAATCAGCATATGCCACTTTTGTAATAAACGTCCTTACAACCTTCTCCCCGACATACTGATATCTCACCACAACCCAGTTATAACCAATCCATATGGCTGGTTCGTATACAACATTAAGGAAAACCAAGGGAGTTGACTGTGTATGTAATGTAAACTCTGCTGGTTTTATTTTACTCATCTAGCCAGGCATCAGAAGAGATGGTGATTTCCCAAATGGCAAAGTCGTCTCTTGGCAACATGGGTGTCTTTGAAATGGTGGCATGGAGTTAAGATGGGGGTCCGAAAATATCAGGTCTTCGCTAAACGGAGCTAACCCAAGCCAAAGTGCTGTGAGACGAGCATACCATGGAGAGGAAAGAAGCGCCGAGCCATTGCGTGCTATTGCGCATCGGGGGAAACCACCCGTGTGACAGTGACAGATCACTTCTGATACCAAACAGTCTTGTGGCTGAATATCCAACGAGGGGTTTGAGTTGGAAAGAGCGGAGACGATGGAGCCCCAGAGACAAAGCACCATGTTCTGATACGACAAAGAGGTAGAACCCTGCTGATCTGGCACAACAACACTGGGCCACAGCTTCAAGCTAACGTTGGTCAGGCTGCAGCAATGGAGGTTTGAGGTTGGCTGCTGTGTGTCCGGCAAGAACTCAGGGAGAAGTGCTGGTGTATGAATGGATGTGTGCTTCATCGGGTCCAGGTAAGTGTGGCTGGTATTGGGAAGACAGCCGAGCTGGTGGATGACGGCAGAAGAAGCGATGAGACCGGCTACGCTAGTCAAGTACAGGAGACCCAACATACAGGTAATCTGCAGGGAAGGCAAAAAACACAACAACTGGTTAAAGATAGCATTGCACGATTAACTAAAATAAAAACTGAAATCGCAATATGGCTTAGTGCGATTATTAAATTGGAAAGCGTCGCTTATAATATGCATTTGGGAATGCAACATGTGTCAACCATCTTCTAAAACTTGTGAAACTAGCGGTTGTGAAAAAAGAGAGGCATTAAGGGCGTCCTGCAGTTTTTTCTATGATTTTAAAGTAAAGCTCAAGACATTGAGCTTTGACTACATGTGATTATATCAATTTGACTATAAAATATTTTTACTTATTATTTTATAGTCATATTGATATATAAAAATCATAATTTTGTCCAACTTGTGCAGAACAGTAAACCTATTTGTGTTTATGTGTGTGTGTGTTTTAGGCGACTCATGCATGTCATATGGGCTACTTTATGAAACCTGTATGAGCTCCTACTGTATTTAGGAGCTCATGCATGTTTAGCTGTGATTATTCACCTTGGTAAAGTGCTGGTAGATAGCTGATAGTGCTTCCCTCCAATTGGTTTGCTCCAACAGGACACAGAGATCCGTGTAGGTGAACCACCCTCGCTTTATACCTTGTCGCTCAGCAATGCTACAAGGACAAAGCCCATTGAAATATTGATTTTTTATTATTATTATTATTTATACTGGAACATTATAACCAAACAACAAACTGAGCATGTGTGAAGGACTTGAACTTTGTCACACGACTCACATGAAACAGAAACATACTATTATTTTATAGTCATATTGATATATAAAAATCATAATTTTGTCCAACTTGTGCAGAACAGTAAACCTGTTTGTGTTTATGTGTGTGTGTGTGTGTGTGTGTGTTTTAGGCGACTCATGCATGTCATATGGGCTACTTTATGAAACCTGTATGAGCTCCTACTGTATTTAGGAGCTCATGCATGTTTAGCTGTGATTATTCACCTTGGTAAAGTGCTGGTAGATAGCTGATAGTGCTTCCCTCCAATTGGTTTGCTCCAACAGGACACAGAGATCCGTGTAGGTGAACCACCCTCGCTTTATACCTTGTCGCTCCGCAATGCTACAAGGACAAAGCCCATTGAAATATTGATTTTTTTTTATTTATTATTTATACTGGAACATTATAACCAAACAGCAAACTGAGCATGTGTGAAGGACTTGAACTTTGTCACATGACTCACATGAAACAGAAACATACTGCTAATCCAACTTACTCTGATAAACAGATTACACTGAAAAGGGCAACTGCATTAAGTCTAAGCGAGTCACTGCCTAGTTGCAAAAGACAAATACTTATGGGCTATTAAAACAGATCATGTCATTAAAAATCGTCTTTGATCTTTTGAAAAGAAGAATGTATAAATCAGTATAGTTTGAGATGTACTGTTAGGATACAGTACTGAATGTTAACCAACCTGCTTTCCACCTGACTGAGGACTTTAAAGAAGTCACTGGGCTCGGTGAAGAGGTTCCAGTCCTGTAAATGTGAAAGATCTTGTTTCATATCAATTTCGATAGAAAACTCACAACCAGTAATGCAACAGTCCCGTATTAGCCTTAATACGCGTGTATAAAAGGACAAAACAAGTCGAACTACTGTAAATGGCCATAGTTCTTTGGAAAGGTGGAGAGTCACGCTTACAATCGCGTTGAGGAAGTTAATCTCCAAAGTGTTGACAGTCTGAACATCCAGCTTGGCCGCAGTGCCCCACTCATCGTTGAAAACCTCCTCCTCTTCTCCTTCATCATACAAATATTTACTGGCAACCATCTGGAGATAACATGAGAAATTCAGAGAAATTAGGCTCTCAATGGTAGATCATCATATCACTGAAACTGACTAAAATAGCAAACTGACTAAAAAAAATGAATACTTGGATGTGCATACCATGGATATCAAAAAGAGGTCTGAGGATGAGATCTGTTGCAGGTATTCAGGGTTTCTGTGTCGCAGTCTTTCAATGTATATCAAGGCCAGCATCATAGCGCAGGGAGATATACATGCTTCCCTGAAACACAAAAAAGGATTCAATGTTGATCCAGTGAAAATGTATCATACACAATTTATTATAATGAGATTAAATTACGAAATCAAAGATATAATGTGATCCTACCTGGCCATGTGTGCAGCGTGTGTCGCAGTCTTTCAATGTATATCAAGGCCAGCATCATAGCGCAGGGAGATATACATGCTTCCCTGAAACACAAAAAAGGATTCAATGTTGATCCAGTGAAAATGTATCATATACAAAATGTATTATAATGAGATTAAATTTCGAAATCAAAGATATAATGTGATCCTACCTGGCCATGTGTGCAGCGTACTTCTTGTGGAGTTTCCTTATGGGACTTGGGGCAGATTTCTGGAGCAGTTCCACAGCAATATCTAGAGGAAATACAATGATGAGTGATCTAGTAGTACTGTAAAACACAAATAAACTCTCCTGTTAATAGAATAAGATAAAAAAAAATATCTACCCAAACACATCCCTATCTAGGAATGCTTTGATATAGAAACTTTGCCTGACCTAAAAACATTTTTATGTTATGACTAAATGTTAATATGAGCAACATGTTTCCCCGGTATTTAATTTTAGACTTTAAACTAATTTCTAATAAATGTAAATAGAAGTTTAAATAGTTAAGCCATAATAAAATGATTCCATTATTAATAATAAATAATTTGTAATAAAATAATTTGTAATTAAAGCAATTTAATTGCAATAGTTTGAATACAATGTTTATCCAGTACTTTCATTTTAGATTTTAAATTCTAATCATTGTAAATATCAGTATAAATAATTAAGTCATAATAAAATAACTGCAATAGCTTGAATACTTAAATAACATGCACATAAGTATTACTTTTTTTTTAATTAAAATATATTTTAAAATAAAATGTAACAAAAGAAAAAAAAAAATTGCACTAATGGACCAATCCAAAATTGTACGTTTCAAAAAAACAAATTCCTTGTAAATACGGGAGACAAAACAAGCAGTTAGGTCACGATAACTCAAATGGCATTGCAACAACAACCACTGACGCTGGCACTAGTTTTACTAGTTGACTCACCTGTCATGGGACATGATAGAGCATCCAACGGGCTGTCAGAATCAAGACCATAATACAGTCGTTTCCTCACTCTCTCTGACCACTGCTCATGTCCAGGCAGAAACTGATCATGATTACAGAACACAACGTTTCATGGTTTAAATGTCAAATGCCTTCATTTTTATTTTTAAGGAGATATATTAATACAACTTAGGCCTGTCACAATAACAACTTTTTGTTGTGCGATATATTGCCCCAGAAATAATTGCGATAAGCGATATTATTGTCATTTTAAAGACCATTTTATGCCACTGACTATATAATCATAATGTAACATCATAATAATGCAAGAAGGCCTACACACTTCCAAATGACAACAAACTTTTAATTTTCAATAATATTTAGATCATGTAAATTAAGTATCAATACATTAGATACCTTAATTTTTAAGAATATTTAAATCATGGGAATTAAGTATCAAAATATTAGATACCTTAAAAAACTTGAATAAATAGTAAATAAACATTTTCTAACAAAAAGTGCAAAGTAACAAGTAGAAAAAAGAAAATTGCACAAAGAACTCGTATGGAGATTTTTCCATCTACAGATTTTTTATTCTAACAAAAAGTGCAAAGTAACAAGTAGAAAAAAGAAAATTGCACAAAGAACTCGTATGCAGATTTTTCCATCTACAGATTTTTTACTGACCTTCTTTTCTCTGTAAAGTAAGGGTGCACACTATTGCTGAAAAACACAATCACTACTTAGCAGTCAGATGTCTGTATGCACAAAGGCACAGATCCCTAAACAAGATCATATCTGCAGATAAAACTTTTTTTTGTATAAGTATTTTTTAAATTTGAAATAGCAATTCATAACTACACCACGTTATGTACGAGAAGCTGCAAAAGACACAGGCGCAAGTGGAATGTACAAAACATGGTGACATTAATTTTTAAGTAAATATAATGGGCGATATATTGCGTCACCAAAAATTATTGAGGTCATGTGCATATATTGCGCGTTAAGTCGATATATTGATTATTGCGACAGGCCTAAACTTAACATCTGTAAAGCAACGACATCACTATGGTGTGTGCTTTTCCTATCACACCCAAACACTGGGCCTCTGAGGAAGCCTCGAACTAAATTGATACTCACAACAAATAGTTACTGTCTTACAGATGGAAATAAAGCCGATATTTGCTGTATTTAAGAATGGTTCTTTTCTCTAGTCTAACATTTTGGGCTTTATATGAAAGAAGACGTTGAAACGTATTTAAAGTTTTTACATAAGTCAGTTTCCCGTGAGTTTCTGTCACCCGCCAAAACAGCGCCACTAGAACAAAAACACCCCAGATACTGACCGTAAACTCCTGAAAGTCAGAAAAGGTGAACGTCCGCTCGTCAAATAAATCACCAAAATCCATTTTGGGCTTCCAGCATTAATTTAAAAGGACTGAAAACACAGAAAGGCCGAAGGAAGGCGTCCTCTCTCCGCCGTGACAGCTGCGTTGCGACGAATTCACAACCACAGTTGCGCAAGACATTGTGCTCAGTTGCTGCTCAGTTGCGTAGAATTTAGACTAAGAGCGTAAATGTGGGTCCATATGTTTAGAGAGGGAGGACAGGGGCGGACCTTGGGTCAAACATTTTAATAGTGTCTAATTTGAATAATTATTTTTTTAAATAAATACATAGTTTTATATTTTAACTAACCGCCGTGCATTTTTATTCAGTGCTGTTACAATTCCCCAGTATCACTGAACACCACTCCAATGTGGTACATGTTACTTTTCTCACCGCTGTTTTTTATTGCCCCATCTCAGTAGTTTATGATAAATCGCTAGTGCGTTTTTAAAAATAGCTTTATTTGAAATTTCGCAAGCAGATTTTTTATTTATATGCCAATTACTTCACATAAATAGAACAATAGATTTAAACGATTATATGTTTAGTGTGTAAATATATCCAATAACACACAAAAACATGTGAATGAGATTCAGGAGAGGTTTCTTTTTTTTGGCCGTCAGGCGCCCCCTAGAGGAAGTTATTTTCTAGACTCTAGGTAAACTAGCACAGTCATACTGATCTAGAATCTAATCAGTATGACAGTGCCAGTTTTTTTTTTAGTTTTTTTTTATGAACAAGATCAAAATACATGTATATGACAAACACTATACATGATATAAACAATAAACATTATACATGAAATAAACAATTTCACACTAGAGGGGCTGTATACAAATACAAATTTATATAAAAATATTAAAGCGTTTACAAACTTCCATTGCTTTTTTTTTCATAGAAAATCGTATAGTATCAACATAATGCTCCATTTCCTTCCTAAAAGAAAAAAAACAAGTTTTTTTGCACATGAGAACTTACATTTGTGAATATGAAATTTTGCATGTAAAAAAATAAGATTTATCATGTAAACGTGACTGTGCTTTTCTTTGCTGTTCTCCAATATACCAAATAATACATCTTTCCATAACAAAACAAAATGATTATCAATATTTTGTACAATAAAATTACATACATTTTGCCAAAATAGTTTTACAAAAGGGCAATGCCAAAACAAATGTACCACAGTTTCAGGGCAACTGACACAAAAGGAGCAACTAAAATCAATATCAGATTAAAATTTTACCAAATAATATTTGGCTGGGTAAATCTTGTGTATAATTTTGAATGATACTTCCTTAACCTTGTTTGTAATTAAATATTGAGTAGGTATTAACCAAACCTTTTTCCAAACAATATTCTGATGTTCTATACACTCTAAAAAATGCTGGGCTGTTTCAACCCAACTTTGGGTCAAATATGGACTAACCCAGCTGTTGGGTTAAATGTTTAAATTAAAGTTTTAACCCAAACGTTGGGTTAGTCCATATTTGACCCAAAGTTGGGTTGAAACAACCGATAAACTGATGTTCTATAGAATCAAATGCTTTACAAAAGTCTAAAAATAATATAAAGCCATTATCATTAATCAGATCTGAATAATCCAGAATGTCCAAAACTAATCGTATATTATTTATGTGCCGATTTTTCACGAATCCCGATTGTGATTCATCAATTACTGAATCCAAAATTGTTTTCAATCTTCTAGCTAAAATTTGGGTCAACAGTTTATAATCATTATTTAATAAACAAATAGGGCGCCAATTATCAATATACTATGACAGTGTCAGTTTACCTGGCGAAAGCTTCATGAACTTTACGTCGTCTGGTCTAGAGTCCAATCACGTAACCTATTTAATATTCATGAGCCATATCTTCAATAACGTCGCTCATATTTTAATGTCATAGCATAGTGCCTTCTCAGTGTACAGTCTTTTGAATTCATTTTAAATTGTTTTAAAGATTCAGTGTCAAGGTCAGCAACAAAATTTTTACAATGCACGTCTTTAGTTAATCCGGACAGTAGCTTTTTTAATGCCAAAAGAGCTGTTAGTAAATCAAGTGATTTAATTTACATCAGTAAACAAACATTAGTCAGTATAAGCACTTTTTTTTACTCTGCACACATACGAGCAGCATGCACTCTAAAAAATGGGTTGGCTCTAAAAAAAAAAAAATCCTCAACCTTTTGCATCAATCTTTTTGAGTTAGGCTACTTATGATGAAATTGTTACACATTTTTGAAAGTTGATTATTCAAAAATATTAAATTGTTCCAACTATCTGAATTTGTGGCCCTAGAACCAATTAATCCAATTATTTTATTATTATTCTTTTTTTTTTTTTCAAGAAAAAAATCACCAGCTTACATAACACATTCTAGCCTATAAGTTATTTGGCATAATAAACATGTAAAATATTAGTATTTATCTAATGTAGCCACCAACAACCAAACCACCAGCACTTTCAGCACAATGATATAACCACAAACTTCAACATAACAGAAATTCTTTTAAATATCAAACATAACAGCATTAAACACGAAATTTCTTTCCCTTCACTAAAAACACAAAACATAAAATAAAACTTATTTTCAATATTTATTTTCCTTGTCCAGTCCTATGCAAAGCAGGCTGGGAACTAAAAACCAACTGCCCAAATTCCAAAGTTAATTAGAATTAGAAATTTACATTAAGTTACTGCAATTTAATTTAAGAAAATTAATTAACACAGTTCTGTCATGACAACTCTGGGAGAGTTTAGCTTGGTAATATACATGCAAGGGAAAATCAACGGTTTGCCGTGCATTGAAGGATTTTAAATGCACGACGTGGAGGCCAAGAACCACCCGATGCGAATGTAAGGTTATGCAATATAACAATAGTAATAAACAAAATATTGTTATTATCATTTTACAGATTTTTATTTCTAAACAAAATGTAAGCTAAAGGGAATATGTATAGTATTTTAATGTACACACAATATGTTACGCACAGAACAATTTGATCAACAATCAGAAAGATCAGATCATATTAATATAAACATATGCCCTTCTTGTCTTTACTGTACAGTAAAATACATACAAAAAAATCTGACTTTATCCATCTTACCACTGAGTTATTTTATCCAAGGCAAATTCTGACAGTGACTAGGCCTACTTCTCAACCCGTTCTTTGAATAATCAATAAAAATGTACTAAAAAGCTTCTTTGTCAAGAAATTTACACACGAGTGAACAATTACACATCCCAATGGCTCATTTCAACCTTGTCCCCTGAGTTTAGTGTCAGTCCTATAAAATAAGCAAGCTCCTTTGTCCCTTTAGTTGAACTGAAGTTGTACAGTACAGAAATCTATTGCATCTACGCAATAACTAGCACTCCACATATACAGCATAAGAAAATGATCTTGAAACACACACATGATCATAAAGAAAGTAAAAATGTGCACACATGTCAGAAATTAATATTAAAATTGACAAAAATATTTTCCCCCCTCTGCCTAGAACTTAATCCTAAATTTAAACAATCTTAGTCTTTATAGAAATTCAAATATCAGTATTTACTGTTACACAATGGCACCAGAAACATAATTATTTACTTTCAAACTAAATGCATTTACAATTTGTTCTGGTGTAGATCATATTTACAACTACAAGCAGTTTTCAGATGTTCTCTATTACCAACAACAGAAAATCGGAAGCATCAGAGAACCAATGCAACTGGAGAAAATCCACTTAAATGACTTAAATAAAATAAACCCATTGTACATTCAGCATAATGAAGTTATAGTAGTGAAAGGAGCCATCATTGTCAGAGCATATAATGCACAGTAACACCTCTGCCAGTCTTATTACTCTCTCATTTATGGCCATATTAATTAGCGATATAAATGCACTTTGAGGGAAAAGAGAGGGAAGTAATTGCAAAGAAATATAAAATTAGACTTAAATAAATAAATAAATAAATAAATAAATAAATCCTTAGGCAATATGGGCCACTTTTAAGAACTGGCAAAAACATAATATGATATTGAATAATTATCATCTAACATGTCAAAACAGCATTGGACGAGCTTAAAATACACACAAAACCAGGTCTGATTGCATGTCCCAAGTGTCTAATGTCCCTTGTGTCCTGCAGCGGATGTTTGTGGCTGTAGTTTCTCAGATTTCCTGTCTTTTGTCTCCGTGTCAGAGATGTATTCACTGTAACTTTGGATCATTTTAATGCATCATTGCTCAATAAAAATATAAATTTCTTAAAAATCTTTCAACTCATGAACAGTAGTGTAATTCCACAGCATTACCAAAACTTGCTAAAGCAATTCAACAACTTCTCAACAAGAAATTATAAAAACACCAGGCAAAACTGGGATAATTCCCTCATTGTCTACGCATTCTACCATAATGCACTGGTGATGTTGTACCTCATCGAGGAGGATGATTTGTGGCGCTTTGAGGATGGTGCGAGCAATGGCGACTCTCTGCTTCTCTCCTCCGCTCACCTTTAGCCCTCTCTCACCCACCTGAGTGTCATAGCCTGCAAATAAATATCAATTAGGAATATCAGCTATAATCTAAATATTATACAGTCTCAAAATGGATGGCATACTAGTGTTATTTTAGTATCACTAATGGCGCTTTTCCACTGCATGGTACGGCACGGTATGGCTCGGTATGGTTCACTTTTGGGGGGTTTTCCACTGGGTACAGTACCTGGTACTTTTTTTAGTACCACCTCGGTTGAGGTTCCAAGTGAACCGTACCGTTACCAAAACGTGTGTAAACTCTGCTGACAGAACCGCTAGATTTAAATCAGCACAGCCGGAAGGATCGAATGCAACTGTTTTGAACGAGCGCACCTTTTTTAACAACTAAAAAAAATGTTAGTTTTTATTCATATTCATTTGAATTTTAGTTAAAGTTTTAGTAATTTAGTTGTATGTTTTTGCCATTTCATTACTTTTTGTCTTTTTAAAATGTGTCTACAGTATATAGTTTTTATTCATTTTATTTTATTACTTATTTTAGTACATTAAGTTAAAATTAGAAATGTTGCCTTAGCAAAGAGAAAAAAAACGTTTCTTTTATTTCAAGTATGTTTTTTATTTCAAATGTTTTTTTTATGGTTTTAGTCTTAGTTATTTATAATTAGGGTTGGGCCGATAGACGATGCCATCGTCCATCGCCGATGGCTAACAGACATCATGATGTTGAGCCGGGACGAGTGTAGGCGCGAGGTGAATGTTGTGACAGAGCGAGTTAAGTAGTTGACACTGCGCATGTGTCGAGCTCATCCGTCCCAAGCGGCAACCTTCCGGTCTAAATGCCTAAATTTACAGCAGAAAAAAACATGTTTACAGCCTGGTTCAAAAAATGATTTTGGTTTATATAGCTAATTTTGCCCTTCATGACAACTGGGAGGGGGGTGAATTTTTTTTAGAACTCATCCGTTTAATTATTTTAAGCCTTAAAGTTCTGCATAATTAAGGGCGTGGCCACTTGAGTGACAGGTGGATTGCCGCTGCTGTCACCACCGTCGAGCTAGGTGGGCGTGGTTTCAGCAACCAGCTCCTGCCTCTTTGCCCATTTTTGATTATCCGGGAGTGACGCGCGGTGACGCGCTGCCAAGTTGGCGATGGCCGGCTCCGCCCACTTTGAGCTTCAAAGACGGTCTTCAGAAACCTACGGGTGACGTCACGGACACTACGTCCATGTTTTTATACAGTCTATGGTCCGTCCGTGCTTCTGCAGTTGAGTATACCATGATGTCATCGTCCATTGTGATGTTTCACTGTAGACATCGTCTGATGCCAATTTAGTAGACATCGCCCAACCCTATTTATAATAACTCTGTGGCATACAAAAACTAAATGAAATGCTCTGTCCATTGCGATGATCTAAAATAATCTTATCACATTTTATATTAATTTTCTACCGTTTAATTATGCTTTCAATGCCGAAAAGTTGTGGATTTTTGTGTACAATGAAATGGTTCTCACCATCCGGGAAGGTTATGATTTTGTCATGGATGTCAGCGGCAGTCGCAGCCTCCTCCACCTCCTGGTCAGTAGCAGTAACTCGGCCGTAGCGGATGTTGTCTCGAATGTTGTCATTAAACAGGACGGTATCCTGAGGGACGACGCCAATGTGAGCGCGTAGAGAGGACTGCTTCACCTGAGACACAACCAGACGAATGAATTAAGAGCTTACCATATTTAGTGCAAAACAAATGTGAAACATAAAATACAGGAACTCAATTCATTGAGACAGGATTTTAAAGGGAATGATTGGGTGTCCTTCTGTGTTTGTATCAATGACAGCTTCACCTTTGAGATGTCTTGGTCGTCTATCTTTATACACCCTCCCTGAACGTCATAAAAACGGAAAATCAGACGAATGATGGTGCTCTTTCCTGATCCAGACTGTCCAACCTGAAATAAACCAAAACAATCCTAAAGTGGTTACACATACACTAGCGGACAAAAGTTTGGAATAATTCAGATTTCTTCATTCTATCATGCTGATTTGGTGCTCAATTATTAATAATGGTTCTTATTATTATCAGTGTTTGCTGCTTAACATTTTTGTGGAAATTGCAAAATTTTCTCAGGATTATTGTATGAATATAAAGTAAAAAAAACTCCCATTAAATAAAAAGTCTTTTGCAACATTATAAATGTCTTTACTGTCACTTTTGATCAATTTAATCCATCTTTACTAAATAAAAGTATTAATATCTTTATGTATTTAAAAAAAATCTTACTTACCCAAACTTTTAAATGGTAGTATATCATAGTTTGCACAAAAATATTAAGCAGCACAACTGTTTTCAACATTGATAATAAGAAATGTTTATTAAGGAGAATAGAATAGACTTACAAGTGCAACTGTTTGACCGGGAAGTACGGTAAAAGAGACATCTTTTAGAATCTCCTTGCTGCAAAAATATCCACATCATATGAAATAAAAGCTGAATGAATATTGCAGTAGTAAATTCTCAGCTTGTTCACTGCTCATTGAAATATTTCTAAGGTTTTTATTTTATTACATTTTATTAAAAAAAATAAATATATATAATTAAATTCTGTATTGGTTTGTTTGTTTTGTTATTTAATGCCTTGTCACTTTGTTACACATTTGATCTCACTACCAGAATAAAAATGTTCTCAAGCCATTAAAACCACCACAATCAAATAAAATATGCTTTGGGAATGATTGGGTGTCCTTCTGTGTTTGTATCAATGACAGCTTCACCTTTGAGATGTCTTGGTCGTCTATCTTTATACACCCTCCCTGAACGTCATAAAAACGGAAAATCAGACGAATGATGGTGCTCTTTCCTGATCCAGACTGTCCAACCTGAAATAAACCAAAACAATCCTAAAGTGGTTACACATACACTAGCGGACAAAAGTTTGGAATAATTCAGATTTCTTCATTCTATCATGCTGATTTGGTGCTCAATTATTAATAATGGTTCTTATTATTATCAGTGTTTGCTGCTTAACATTTTTGTGGAAATTGCTAAATTTTCTCAGGATTATTGTATGAATATAAAGTAAAAAAAACTCCCATTAAATAAAAAGTCTTTTGCAACATTATAAATGTCTTTACTGTCACTTTTGATCAATTTAATCCATCTTTACTAAATAAAAGTATTAATATCTTTATGTATTTAAAAAAAATCTTACTTACCCAAACTTTTAAATGGTAGTATATCATAGTTTGCACAAAAATATTAAGCAGCACAACTGTTTTCAACATTGATAATAAGAAATGTTTATTAAGGAGAATAGAATAGACTTACAAGTGCAACTGTTTGACCGGGAAGTACGGTAAAAGAGACATCTTTTAGAATCTCCTTGCTGCAAAAATATCCACATCATATGAAATAAAAGCTGAATGAATATTGCTTATTTGTGACCCAAATTTTTCTAATAATAATAAAATAAACAATAGAAACGAATACGACTGAAGCTGCTAACCCTTGCGTGTAGCTGAAGAAGACATTCTCAAACTCTACTTTTCCCTGTGTGTAGTTGAGGTTTCCTGCGTTGACATCATCCTTCACCTAAATCAAATCATCATGTCATTAATTATACAAAAGCTTCTATCAAATACATTTCAATGAAAAATTCATCCACTCACCTCTTCTTCCTCAGTGAAGAGCTTGAACATGCTTTCCATATCAATGAAAGAGTTCTGGATCATTCTTTTACAGGAAAGATACACGTTTACTGTTTGTTCTTTTAAAAAATATATATGTATCTATACACTGACGATAAACTATTAACCAAGACAAAAGCCTCATACCTGTAGTATGTTCCAAACCAGTTGAGAGGAGTGTAAAGCTGGATGATGTACGTCACAAACAGCACATAATCTCCTACCTGGAAGACCATGATGAGTTAAATGTAGTCACATGACAATAAAACTTGTATATATATATATTAAAAAAAATAAATATATATAATTAAATTCTGTATTGGTTTGTTTGTTTTGTTATTTAATGCCTTGTCACTTTGTTACACATTTGATCTCACTACCAGAATAAAAATGTTCTCAAGCCATTAAAACCACCACAATCAAATAAAATATGCTTTAGATAAAGTAAACTCTGACAGTGAACTCACAATCACAATCTCATAAATCCCTGGTTGAGAACCGCTGAAATGAAGTTATGTAGTAGATTAGCCAAGCTGTAGGCTGTTTATGAAGCAACATTCACATTTTTCTGCTATAAACCATAGCTTATTTGGTGGCTTCAGAATTAACTGCCAATGGTCTGATATCTGAGGTGTCCTGACTGTTCATACCTGAAACTTTCCCTCTGTCACGAAGTACGCACAGAGCAGAGATCCGGTCAAAAGACCCAAACCGATGATGAGGTTCTGCGTTTGATTTAAGAACGCCAGAGAGGCGTTGGTCTTCCACTCCGATACCTAAGCAAAAGAAAAAGTGGCATTTATTTATATTACAGTGAGCTCTTCAACATTAAATTCATTTCAAATCAAATACAGATGAAATATAACAAATATTGTGTGGATCGCAGTCTAAAAACATTTAAAAAAATGTTTTACCTGATATTTCATGATAGCATCCTCAAAGCGTCTTACTTCATAAACCTCTGCATTGTAATATTTCACCTGTTGACAATATCATAATTCAATCACAGCATATTCAATGCTTTATTATGTGCATTATATTGCATTTCACAATACTACATATTGCATATTTTTTATAGCACGCATTCTGATGCCTTCGTTAAACAAAGAGAGAACAAAGCAAAGCCATACCGTCTCAAAGTTCAATAAAGAGTCCACAGCTTTTGATTTGGCATTGTTATCTTGTGTGTTCATATCTCGTCTGTATTTCGTTCTCCATTCAGTGATTACAATAGTGAGAGCTGACAGAGACACAGATAACAACAATTAATCAATAAATCAAAGGCTATAATCTATGTATTTCCATTCTTCTTTCATTAGTGACTCCTGAGACGAAAGAATCAAAAACAATCCTGCAGAGTCTAGGTATGTTCAGAACTACTGTACACACTATTTGTGCAGTATGCAGTATAATTTTCACATTTTGTGAGTTAATTGTGAAGTAATATCAACTGCAGTTTCAAAATAAAAAATTTTATTAACAAAATCAAAAGAGAGACCAATTGCAAAAGAAGCGGCATAATGAGGTACATTGACTGATATTTTAGCATTATTTATATACTACTTAAGTATTTTTTTTTTTAAATATTAGCTTGAATTAGCTTTTATTTTATATTTTAAGTTTTCACTGTAATTTTGTTCATTTTTTTTGTAATTTGTTATGTGCTTATGTCATTTTTGACATCTATTTAGCTTTATTTTTATTTCAGTTTTAGTTTTAGTAATTTTAGTACTTTAGTTGTGAAGGCAACATTTCAAATTTTTTAATTACGTTTTTAAAGTTTTGAATAAAATATTCATATTTTATTATTATTATTTTTGTTTATTTCAATTACCTGAACATTATTTTTAATACTTTTAATTTTAATTAACAATAACAACACTGGTGTGACATAAATATAGCATAAATGTTTGCCTGCTGCATTCTGTTTCATATACTACACTTACAGAAGGCAGTATATTGCATGTTATAAAACAGACAGTTCCGGTCCTTGATTCTGATTGGCTGAGCCACGTTTGAAGCTGTTGTAAATTACTCTACAAACATACACCTTTGTTTACGTTTGTGTGTTGCTCGGCAACCACTTTGTTGCAACCACAACTGATTCTGAGGAACTACATTAATTGGTGGATTGAATGTTTTTATTAATATCATTACACTTTATTTGCTCTGTTTTATTTTGTGAACGTATATGGAATAACCGTTTTATAAAAGCAATAAGCCCCATGAAGCTGTGGTTTACAGTGAATTTATAACAATGCCCCTTAGCTGTTATAAATTCACTGTAAACCACGGCTTCTTGGGGCTTATTGCTTTATTCTGCACAGTAGCATTCAAGCAGTATTCAATTTAGCCATTATCCTAACCTCCAGTTACACACCTGAACCAGTTAGACAAGGTATTCAAGTTTAACTTAAAATGTAAGTGTTAAATGTTTTGAACAAAACTCAAAATACAAGACCTTTGGTTATATTAATAAATAAATAATTACTTTAAGTAATGAAGTTATACTAAAACCAATCCCACATGAAAAGAAACCAGAAAAGAAGCAACTACAGCATCTTCAGCAATGTGTGTGTTCATGTATTCACATTTAGAAATGACAATTGTTAAATACTTACTGAGGTAAAGGGCCATGCAAACGAAGACTATGAGGCCAAACCAGGCATTAAAATTGGATATGAAATAGACAATGGCAATGACAATGTCAGCAATAGTGGGGAAGATGCTGAACACGATGTAGCTGTTGGAAAAAAAACAAAAAATATATATTTAAAGATCATACAAACTGAGATCACTTTTACTGCGAAAGCATACTATCGGCTCTTAAGTTTTATATGCATGCATGCTAATGCATCCAAGATTAACATTGCACACAGACCTAGTTGACCTTGTTTATACTTGCATTTAAATGCAAACAGCTTGAGGTAAGAAGGTCTCTGGTATCAAGATGCAGTATAATATAAAGCTAATGTTAATTTTAAAACTTTTTTTTTAGCTCTCACCTCAGCAGGTTGTTGATAGATGAGGTTCCTCTGTCGATGCTTCTCAGGACGTCCCCTGTGCGGCGACCCAGGTGCCAGCGCAGAGACAGAGAGTGCAGATGAGCAAAGAGACGCACTTGGACCATGCGGTTAGTGTACTGCTGCACTCGAATCCACAAGAACGAACGCATGTTACTCACAAACCCAGACGCACCTGCAGATGGAAACAAATGAAGATCAGATTGTGGTCAGATTCTAAAGAATATTCCATGCCATGCTACAAAGATATCATTAAATGAGGAGATGTTCCCTCACCAGCTCCACCTCCCTGCAAGAACTTCAGGAGTCCGTAAACACACACTGTAGTCGCCAGAGTCTTCCAAGAGCTCCCATCTGTCAGCTGGTTCACTGTGACAGGAGGAAATCAATGTGTTAGCATGTAAAAGAGATTAATAATCAATTTTAAAAAGTCTCCAAATCTGCAAAAGGGTAACTAAATGTAACAAATCATGTAAAAACCTTTATTGGAAAATTAAACAACATTTGATAAAACTTTGATAATTACCTTAATCTTTTAAACAACCAAGAAGAAGATTTTTACTTTTCATAAAAATCACCAGTCAAGTGTGTTCCTGTGGCTCAGTGGTAGAGCATTGCATTAGCAGCACAAAAGGTCGTGGGTTCAATTCCCAGGGAAATGTATAGCCTGAATGCACTGTAAGTCGCTTTGGATAAAGCGTCTGCTAAATGCATAAATTATTATAATTTATTATTATTATTATAAAGTTCCCAAATCTATGTATCAGCATATGAGAATGTATTGTGCATGTTATTTTTTGACAGACACTGATGTTGTGATATGATCGATGAATGATGTGGATTTAAAAAAAGATGGATTTTAAGGTAACAATTATTTATTGTTTTACTGTATAAGTGATTGATGTTCATGAGTGTATTATGTTGATGTTTTTAGTACTAATATTCCAACCGACAGCCAGCCAAAGTTTTTGACAGAAGCGTCAGTAATTATAAAATGTGCAGGAGAATTTTTATTTTTTTTGTGTAGTTCATTATATTTATTTTAGGGAATGAAGTTTTTTTCATGGCTTAAATAATTACATGTTACTCAGAGACTGACATGTTACATTCATCTGTCAAATTCGTTGACTTTTGAAAAGCAAGTATTTTTTTCCCTGTCCAATTTTGATGTACAAAGTTGTTGTTGTTTTTGTCTCCTGTAACAAAATCTTTTATTTAAACCCATGAAAACCCAGATATTTTTGTAAATTATGAAAAATCACTTTTTAAAACGGTTGTTTCATTATTACACCTGTTGGAAACTCAGAAGCGAAGACCAGGAGACTCTTGGGTATCGTCAGCAGGACTCTTAATTGAGAACGTGCTGTGTGGTGCTGCAGTCATCAAAAGTCTAACTAAGGCAGTGTAGTTTATAAACATTTAGGGGGCAGTACTTAGAAATGGAGACAAAGCAACTGGGCAACTATATATATATATACACTGAACAAAATTATAAACGCAACACTTTTGTTTTTGCCCCCATTTTTCATGAGCTGAACTCAAAGATCTAAGACTTTTTCTATGTACACATTTGTCTTATTTGTCTTTATTATTGCTATTTGATTATCCTGAGATAATTACAATAGTAAATGCAATAATATTAATAATAATAATAAGTTGTATACATCTAATACAAATAACACAAAATATCAGACAAACCCATTTCTACAAATTAACTGTACAGAAAAAGTAAATAAATAAAAAAGGGCTCAAATTTTAATTTAATTTATATTATATATATATCTATTCCAAGCTTTTTCAATTATTTGAAAACTGGAGTATTTTTGTAAATGCTTATTTAGGAAAGTCTGGCAAATTTGTTGCCATTTTTAAAAAATGCATTTAACTTCTGCATTCAACATTCAAAGTTTAAAGCAAGACTAGAGTGAGTAAAGTAAAACTGCCACGTCATGAAGTGTCGCAAAAACTGTTATCTGATTGGTCAATCTTAAACGGTCGGGGTGTGGCTAATGCAGGTAGGAAGGAATGCAGCTAGAAATGACCATGACTCAACAATATTTACACATGTCACTGCCTGCTATTTAAATACACATAATGACTCAACAATATTGCTAATGACCATCAAGACAGAATTGACAAAATTGCAGTAATTTGTTGGATCCTCTATTTATCGTAAATTTCACACAGTTACCATAATGCTGATTCATGCCGTGTGAGCAGCATTCCCACGTCATCACTTTGAAATATTTCCACTTCAGACAGAACAATGGCATCAGTGCCAAAGGTTATGATACAGAAATACAAGATAATACAATATAAAATACATAAAAAGCACTAAAAAGTACCCTATGTACTACAATCTGCATAACTTGACAAAACTTGACAAGTAACTTGACAAAACTCAACATGAATGAAGTTTAGGAGAAATAAGCCATTACTTTTCACCTGGTGGATGATAAACAGGCAAAAAACAAACAAACATGTACTTAAGATTATTGCAACAAATCATCATTAACATAAACAGTCAGTCTCCCTAACCAATCACACACACACGTACCTGTTGATCAGACTTTTCCAGAGTCCACCACCACTGAGGGCTCATCCAAGACACAAACGCCAGGTTTTCAGCCGCAAATGCTACGGCCCAGTACAGCAACAGTACCGTACTGTGTCCTCTGGTTCTGTCCCGCACCAGAACCCTCCTCCTCTCCAGATGAAGCAGGGCCATGGCCCAAATCCAGCCCAGCATGGAGAGACAGCCAGACAGAACCACGTATCCCGGTAGCTCTCCGCTCCGAGTGATTCGAAACACCATCCAGCCCTGAGCCTGCAGGACGAGCAGCACTGACAGGCCCACTTGGAGCCGGTAAAGTCGAGAGCGAGGGATGAACTTGGGCTCCATGTCTGTGCCGTAGCGTCTGTAGCATATACACAGAAAAGTGCCGAAGAGGAAGGAGAGGGTGAGGAGGACGGATGGCACCAGGGTGAAGTAGAAGCAGAGAGTCAGACCGCCCTCCACCCAGACATGCTGCATGGACACTCCCGCTTCACAGTAACTCTTTATCTCCACCATGATGATGATGGTGGTGGTGGACCCACAAAAATAATATCTGGAAAAAACAAAATGGTGAGGAACCAAATTAACTTTTATTTCCCACGACAAAAACATACTGTGGCAGTACAATAGTATAGGGATGGTAATGGCAATACCATGGTACTGTATGGTTTCCATATTCATATACTACAGTGTTTACTCCAAGGTATTTACTACAAGTTACAAAAAATACCACAGTAATGTCATGTACATGTGGAAAATGTTGTATTTTCACGGGGCATGTGCAAAGAAATAAGTATTACCATGGTACGTGCCCCAAAATGGTACTACTGTAGTAAATTTACACAGTACTGTGGCTGTACCATACCATGGTACTACCAGCGTTATTATAGATAAACTAACGTTAAACTAAAACTAAAACTGAAATAATTTTTAAAAAATCATTACTTCAAATAAAATGGAAAAACTTAGCAAGAAAACATTTCTCATGTTTATTTTGTTTAACTTGATGTAGTAAAACAGAGTTTCCCAAACTGGGGTTCGCAAACCCCTGGGGGTTCGCGAGGGAATTGCAGGGGGTTCGTGAGTTGATGACAAGCAGATAATTAAAATATAATGATTTTTTTTTAAATTAAACAAATAATAGGCTACGTAATATTAAAATAAAAAAATCTAAATAAAACTTACTAACAAAAATATATATTATTTGTTTAATTTGCATCATGTGACCAACGTCATGACAACGGACACGATATCAGAAAACCGCGAAGTCACGCAAAATGGACAGGTTCGTTTCATGCACAAATAAAAGAAAATTCCCAGAAGGTCCAAGCACAAGCCAGCACAAAAAAGTACCAAAGCAAGCACCGTAAGTACAATGAGGACTACATCAAATTCGGATTTACATCCATAGACGGTGCTAATGGCAAGCCCTCTCCCATGTGCGTTATATGTATGGAGCTGAGATTATCTCGGTACCGTATCTACTTGGTTTGCATCTGTTTCTCCAGTATGACGATTTAATCGGTCTTTACTGCACGGTTCTGTACACTTTTAGTTCACTGCTCAATGCAACGATACCTTCAAAATGGCGCCTCGGTGACGTCACACATAATAAACGCACGTGACTGACAAAGACCGATTCCTGCCGCAGTCGATATAAATGCGAAATTATGTTCGGACCAAAGCAGGCTAAAAAAGTTACAAAAAATACCACTCTCCGATAACACTGTTTCCAGGAGAATTTCAGAAATGGCAGATGACATTGAAGCATAGCTAATTGATAGACTTAAAAATGGAACTCCGTATGTAGGCCTAGATGTGGCAAGTCAAGCCCAACTGCTGGTTTTTATTCGCTATGTTTGGGAGAACAAAATCAATGAAGACGTTTTGGGGTGTTTTATCCTGCCAGAAAGAACAACAGGAGCTGAGATTTTTGACGTAATCAATCGATTCATGACATCAAAAGGACTTAGTTGGGAGAACTGCATTGGCAGGCATATGCACCGACGGAGCTAAAGCAATGACAGGCTCAAGGAAGGGATTCATTGCAAGAGTTAAGCAGGTGTCACCCAATATTGTGGCAACGCATTGTGTTACACAGAGAAGCACTCGCATCAAAAGAACTGTGCCCGGATCTGAATGAAGTGCTTATTTCTGTTGTTAAAATTGTCAGCTTCATTAAGACACGACCATTAAATGTTCGTATTTTCTCGGCACTCTGCGCTGATCACCATGGACTTCTTTTACACTCAGAGGTCCGCTGGCTATCTCGTGGATCCGTTTTGTGGCGAGTTTTTGAGCTGCGCAATGAGATCGCTCAGTTTTTATCCGATCAGAATTCGAACTCGGCCACACACTTCAAGGACGCTGCATGGAACGCAAAACTTGCATACTTGGCAGATGTGTTTGATGAACTGAATAAACTTAACACTAGTATGCAGGGTCCCCATACAAACATCCTGGACCTGTCCGACAAAATCAACGGATTTACAGAGAAGGTTCGACGCTGGATAGAACGTGTGAGAAATGGAGTAACAGAAATGTTTCCCTGCTACACAGAGCTGAATGATGGAGAGAGAGTGGACATCTCGGACACAATCTGTGCTCATCTCACTGTGCTTGTTGATGGTTTCAGAAAATACTTTGGTGATGTGGAAAATGACTTGAAAACAGACAAAGACTGGATCAGAGATCCATTTACAAATGTCAGTACAAACATCTCTCATAGTTTAACTGTGACAGAGGAGGACAAGTTAATTGATCTCAGCAATGACAGTTTTCTGCATCAGAATTTCCAGAATTGTGGACGTGATATAACATCATTTTGGTTGAGCCCTGTTGTTTTGTCAACATATCCAGAGCTCACATAAAAGGCACTAAAGATACTCTTGCCTTTTGCAACTACATACTTGTGTGAGAGTGGGTTTTCAGCCCTGGGCTCCACTAAAACAAAGCAAAGAGCAATGCTTGATGTCTGAGATGAGATGAGGGTGTGCCTGTCAAAGATTGCCCCCAGAATTGATGATTTGTGCAAGGCTCACCAAGCACACCTGTCACATTAAAAGGACACCTGTCACACTGAATGTCTACCAGTGTATATAGACGTTATTTCCATTACAATTTAACTTTTTTTTTTTCTCAAAGTAAAGAAATGTTACAGGTTTATTCAAATGTAGTGTAAAAGTGAAAACTTAAATGTATAATAAGAAAACCCCCATTTGGGAAATCCTGCATTAAAAGATTTCTAAATTATAGTCCAGTGTGAAAAAAAGTAATGTGTAATAAAGTTATTTTACATTATATGTTATTTGAATTGTACTAATATGAAATTGTATATGTTCAAATGTGTTATAACAATAAATACTACTGATTAAAACTTTTAAAAGGATAAATAATAAATATTTTTGAAGTAAACATGCAAATGTGCTATTAAATTATTGAAATATATACTTCAAATCTCTGGGGGTACTTTAAGTAAATTATTTGGTCAAAGGGGTTCGGCTGACAAAAAAGTTTGAAAACCCCTGTAGTAAAATAACTAAAACTATATAAAACTTTATTTTAAAAAAATACATATTTTTAACAATACTAATAAAAATGACAAAAATACACAATAAAATTACTAAAACTTTAACTAAAATTAAAATGAAAATGGAAAATCTAATAAAAAATATTTAATATTTTATATATAATATTATATAACAAAACTATAGGCCTAATAGATAATAAAATAACACTGCATAGTACAGTGACACTACTAGTGGTGCAAAATGATTAACATATTCATATACCCTGGTATTTACATGCAACCCAAGGTACTTCATATAATACCAGGGTATTACTATGGTACATGAAAAAAAAACAACAACAATAAACCCTGAAACCTTTTAAAATTACATATTTATTAAACTGAATAAAAATATCAATATATATTTTTAATATCAATATATTATATAATATTTTTATTGTTGATGATATTCTTGAGTCAGTCATTATAATAACAGCATTAAGTTACTTTCAAAGGTGTTTTCATTTTAGTTGACCATGGTACCGCCTCATATATAATATAATATAAATGATATTACTATATAATTATATTAATATTAATCGAAATTTGACCTACAGAAGGCAAACAGTTGTGACCAACTTACTAAAACGCTACCATGGTAAAATACAAGATTTAGTCGCATATGCGAGTGATTTACTCGCAATGAAGAGGGTTGAAATATATTGCATGCATAACACGGTACTGCCACGCTATTGTACCATGTCCAAAAAGGACAGTTCTTCTTTGTGAGAGTAATTTATTACCATGTATATCATACCACGGTATTAGCACCTGATACCACGTTAATAAAAACTTAGGACAGTAAGATTATGAACTAACCTTTTTCAAATGTCACTGAGATCCTTCTTCTCTTTCGAGTGCGTCCTTGAATAATTATCCCCTCAGATGAACGTTACTGCTGCTAAAACATTTAAACGTCTGTGTTTGCTGTCTGTCCTTGCAGTCATAAACTCACCTTGTTCAACTCCACTATCCATGCACAATAACATTGGGGCAGACAGACGTCACACTTCTCATGGTCCTAGTGCACTAAACATCCTACTCTTATGTACCGTCAACCGCTGGCATGGGTAGTGTAACTTTTCTCAGCGCTAATAAGAATGGTCCAATAGCACGTTGTTGTGATTACTCGATGATCGTTTATAAACAAATCAGGTTAATCATCGCGGTTATGGCAAGCCGGTTAACATTTAATGTATAAACCTGTTTCTGATGCAGAAAAGCTAGTTCATGCATTCATGACCTCTAGACTGGACTATTGTAATGCACTGCTAGCTGGTTGTCCTACATCTTCAATAAACAAGCTACAGGTGGTCCAAAATGCAGCTGCTAGAATCCTTACCAGGTCAAGAAAATATGATCATATTACCCCAATTTTACAGTCTCTGCACTGGCTACCTATTAAGTTCCGTATCAGTTACAAAATATTATTACTTGCCTATAAGGCCCTTAATGGGTTAGCTCCTGCGTACCTAACTAGTCTTTTACCACGCTACAATCCATCACGCTCCATAAGGTCGCACAACTCTGGACTTTTGTTAGTACCTAGGATAGCAAAGTCCACTAAAGGAGGTAGAGCTTTTTTGCATTTGGCTCCCAAACTCTGGAATAGCCTTCCTTATAACGTTCGGGGTTCAGACACACTCTCTCTGTTTAAATCTAGATTAAAGACACATCTCTTTGGCCAAGCATTCAAATAATGCATCTCATAATCTTAGTGCAGTTGATCAAATGCACATTATTATTCCTTAGCTTGGTTCCAGTTGTTCCATTTTTATTTTTTATTAATTTATTTTTGAAACTACTAGCCTACATGTTATTAGATACTAGTACTTAATTATTATATACTAGTATTTATTTATTAGATTGTACCTAATAAATAGACACTAATACATACTATGACAAACAAGTATTTATTCATTAGAATACTAGTTGTTATTATTACTGGTCTGAAGATGCTACGTTACGTTTAAAAGGGTGTATGGAATGTACAGATTGGACTGTTTTTATGGACTCTGGTTCAGACATTGATGAAGTAACAGATGTAATTTGTAGTTATGTGACATTTTGTGAGGATATGTTAATACCTGTGAAATCATTTAGGAAATTTCCAAACAACATAATAGTTGATTTCTGAATGACAGATCCTCATAATGGCTTAAAATTTGAAATGTGTTAGTTACAGCAGAATAGTTACTAGTAGTCATTATACTGAAGTAAGTATTAGTGTCTCATAAATAAATAAGAATTAGTATCTAAGGAATAAACAGTATCTTTAAAAAGTTGCTAGTACCTAAAGAATTAGCACGAGCACCAAAAGAATAAGCACTAGTAGCTAATTAATAAGTAATGGAATAGATAGCCTATACTAGTAGCAAAAAAATAAGTACTAGTAGCATGAAAATAGACACTAGAACATTTTAAAGATTACATGTTAACCCGGCTTGCCATATTGTGATTGCTGTGGATTTCCATTTGTATGTAAAATACCAAATGTGGGGATTCATTGATTAAAACGATTATACTTTTTGGAGCATAAATGTAAGACCAAAAACAAAACAAAAAGTCGTGTCTTACTGTATTTTGTATTTGAATGTGACTCAATGGAAGATTGTGCAGATGCGCCAAGCGCCTCCTGGAGGAATAAACTCACTTACATTACACAGGTGTTAATTGTGCATTTTTAGTTATTATTATTATTATCATTATTATTATTATTTTAACCCTTAAATGCATGAATGTTTCGCCAATCATTATTACATAGTCGGGTCTTTTGCGACCCAAATATAGTTGGGCAGGAAAAAATACTTACACATTTACATACCTCTAGCGACCCTATACACTTTTTACAAAAAAGTAATCAGAAAACAGGCATTCTTTTATATTTTACTATTTTTTTCTTGTTATATTGTTTATAATTAATAGATTGAGGAATACTAAGAAAGTTGATGTCTAACTTAAAAAAATGAAAGAGGGAGATGTCCCGGGTCGCTAAAGAGCCGAGGTATGCATTTAAGGGTTAAGAGACAGACTAAACAGCAACATTTTTTGTATAAAACCCAAACAGTTGCTAGTAGCCATTGTTTTTCCATATGGAAGTCAGTGGTTACTAACATCTGTTTGGTTACCAACATTCTTCAGAATATCTTGTTTGTGTTGAACAGAAGAAAGAAATTCATACAAATTTGAGACAACTTGAGGGTGAGTTAATGATGTCATTTTTGGCTGAACTATCCCTTTAAACATGCTCCTTCTTTTTGCTGCAAACTGGAATTTCACCAGCAGAGAGCAGTATTATACAGGATATGTTCGTCATGAACATGTGCAGTATACACTGCCTACACTACCCATAGTGTACCATTAGGTATACTACCTAACATTTTTGGTAGTATGTGTAACAGTATAAATAAAATGCATTTGCATTTAGCTATCTGATCAAATAATGAGTAAATAAGACAATTGCTGACATTACTACAGGTTCATTTATAACATAAAATGGAAGGTCAAGTTGTTGCATTGCACAGTATTATGTGCAGTGTGCTCTGTTGTAAGCCATCCAGATATTCCATGTATACAGGAAAATTACATATTGTACAAAAGATACTGTAGGCTACATATTATATACTGCAGCAATAGTAAGTGTAGTATAGCAGTGTGGTTTTGCAAACACAGGCTCTGTCTTTGTTCTGCATTGTGCTGAGGGTAAGTTTTTTTTTTTTACTTACTCCATGCTTCTGCACACTTAACACATGAAGAAAAAAACCCTGCCAGTCTATTTATTTAATTTCTTCTTGTCGTTTTGTATGTGTATAAGGTTTTTTTTTTTACTTACTCCATGCTTCTGCACACTTAACACATGAAGAAAAAAACCCTGCCAGTCTATTTATTTAATTTCTTCTTGTCGTTTTGTATGTGTATAAGGTTTTTTTTTTTACTTACTCCATGCTTCTGCACACTTAACACATGAAGAAAAAAACCCTGCCAGTCTATTTATTTAATTTCTTCTTGTCGTTTTGTATGTGTATATGTGTTTCTATTTGAATTACACAGGTTCATATTTGAAAAAAAAAAAAAAAGAATTAATCAGCAAATTTGCATCCTTATATCCTACAGAAATCAAAATTAAGATATGTGGACTTGTGAAACTGGAATAAAGAATAAAGAAAACAAGATTTGCTCACACAGAACATTTTTGAAAGCTGTGGGCAATTACAGTGGATTTTTCACAGGAATCAGTTTTTTTTTTCCAGTTCCTGTTCTTGTTTAGCACTGGAACATGTCTTAAGTATTATTAACAACACTTAAGTATCTTAAAAATACTTATAGTATCTTAATTATTCTAAACATCTACCATCTACCATGTTGTTAAGCATTTGTTCTGCACAGTTATTTTCTAATAAAATAACATGTTTAACCTATACATATATTCATACATGACTTAAGGGACACAATAATAATAATAATTATTATTATTATTAACATATTAATAGTTTGCCATAATTAATAAAACATATAATAATAATAAAGCATAACGACAACATTATTGTTTATTTAAAGAATAGTTTTAAGTATTATGAGAAGGGTATACACTTTGCAATAGAAGAAATATTCCAGAGGTACATGGTGCACAAAGGTCTTGTCGGTTTGAATATATGCTGTTATATAAAGAGAACATTCAGAATTATAGGGTCAAATTTAAGATTCAAAGGTCTTCACCTATTTGGATGTAACATCACAACCTGAATGGTTCAAATGTCTTTTAAAGATCGGTCTTAAAAGTCCAGCAAATGCTAAAAATGGAAAAGTATACTATTTTATTCCATGACCACACTCAAAAGTCATCACTTCAGAATCCAGAATTAGCTGCTGAAATGACCTCTGTGTTCATTCATTTTACAAAGACAATTAGCTAATCATTTCCTGAATACACTGAAGTGAAGTCTATGATCTGAAGACATATATGTGTTATTAATAGAGGAGGTCAGTGAAGCCCAGACTCAAGGCTATTACACAGACTAACAGGAACTTAATTGTTTCCTCAGTGTCTGGAACTTGGGCTGCAAAAGAAAGGTAATTAAATCTCCTCCTCCATTATGAACATTTCACTGATGACGGGGGTCTTCATAAAGGGGGTTAATTATGAGCTCTGACAGGGTTCGTCTCGCTTCATGAAAGGAGGCCTTTTGTCATCTTTATCTGGGTTGGTCTACCTTCCTCATTCAAATACTAGAGGAACAGGGTCATTTACAGAGAGAGTACAATAACTGAAGTGCTTTATTTGAAGAGTCGTTAGGCTTCTCGTAAACATTACACAAAAGAAATGACAGTGCAAATCTAGAATGACATCATTTACAAACTGCCAAAAATACAGAAATAGTAATGAATTATAGAAGTGTCAAAATCGTCCATGTTTATGCATTTACATTTTTTAAAATGCATTCTAAAATACATGTATATACACTGACACAAAAAGGCTGTTATTTAAAAAAACAAAAACAATAATGAAGTTGTTATACTTAAACAATTGCCAATAAAAGAAAAAAACGTTTAACATAAATTATATGAAAAACAATAGCCTATTACACACCTTTTTACAAATATTGTATATATTATAGATATGCAAGATAATGCTTTTTATTTAAAAAAAATACTAATATATATTTAGTGAGATATACTTACAAAAATAGCCTATTACACACCTTTTTACAAATATTGTATATATTATAGATATGCAAGATAATGCTTTTTATTTAAAAAAATACTAATATATATTTAGTGAGATATACTTACAACATTTTTTGAATGCACATATCAAAATACACGTTCAAAATATATGATCTTAAAAGTAATATCTTATGAAGGTTTGACTCACAGTTAATTTTAAAGATGTTCAGATTTTTCTGAAAAAGTGGATTTTATTGCAGTGCTTTCAGGTACTTTTTACTCTTTAGTTATGTCATTAAAATTTGCTCACTTTATATGGCTTTACTGCAATAATTTTT